CGCTAAAGTTCCCAGGTTGTTATCCCATAAATTCAAATGCATCAGGGTGGTATTGTTACATAGAGACTTGGCCAGCTCTTTTCCTGCCAAATCTCCCAACCCTGTGCATTTTAAATTCAAATCAATCAGTGAGGTATTCTCACGTAGAGCCTCAGCCAATGCTCTCCCCGCAAAATCCCCTATATTATTATTTTGCAAATTTAAATTAGTCAGGGTGGTATTTTTCCGTAGTGCCTCAGATAGTGCCATCCCTGCCGAATCTCTCAGCCCTGTGGAATTTAAATTCAAGTGAGTCAGGGTATTATTCTTGCACAGTGCCTCGGCAAATGCTTTTCCTGTTGATTCTCCTATCTCGCTCAGTTCCAAATTCAAATTGACAAGAGTAGTGTTCTTGCATAGAACCTCAACTAACGATTTTCCTGCTTTTACATCAAGATTTTTGCATCTTAGATCCCAATTTGTAGCAAGCTTTTCGTCTTCTGGTGTGTGCTGAGGATCCTTAAGAATGACTTCGTAAAGCTCTAGTGCTTTTATATAATCTCCTTTCGTGAAATAGGATTTGACCTCATCTCGCTGGTCTTGGATAGTAGAACTTGGCTTCACGTCGCTTAAATTTGGCGGCTCCGGCGTAATATCTGAAATCAACAATTTTATTAAGTATCAATATTATTTCATAATTTATCTTTATCCATCGTTTTTCCATTCATACCTTTTTTTTGATCGGCAAAATGTTACTAGTGCCGGTACGAGGATGCAAGTTAAATGAAGAAGTCTGATAACTCGGTGCCACCGCTTTACAAATGATATCATCCCATAGCGTTGGATTAAACACTTTTATATACGGTCTAACTTTAGCGACCAAGTCTTCCTTAGGAATTTGGAGGTATCGAATAAGTGGCAAAAGATTTTGCAAGGTGATTTTTAAAGTCGCGAAGTTATCATCGGACCATTCCTCGAGGCTACTTGGTAGAGTTCCATTTTTCGCCTTCCCCCATTGGATAACATTATCCCAAA